TTCTATCATGCATGATGCATGCAAGCACACCAGCAAGCACTTACCCTTTCCAGCTTGTTCTTTCGGACTTTGTGGATGCACATAGCAATTCCAGCGAGCTCATGCGAGTACTAACTCGAGTCGGCGCAACAGCAGGTGTCGACTCTTACAAGCGATATCAAAAGACCATCATTGACAAGAAATCAGAGCTCGGAATGAACAGTGAGATACCTCACGCAAAGTTCTCCATTGCAACAGTGGATAATATCGACAAAAACGAGCCAGGCAGGCGAATGTACTGCGGAAACCAATCAAGAGGCTTTCATGGTACATCAATTCAGAACATCACACCAAAGCCCATCAGTGGCAATATCGTCGCGTGCAACAACATAGACGGAGTGCCACATCAAGGATTCCACTGTGCATCACAGCCTGCCAACACGAGTGAACCACAGGGTATGCGAGGCAGGCTGAGGTCCCGTGCAAGAACAAAAATATTGAAGGCCAGAAGCCACAAGTCGACCATCAGAGCACGCAGAGACACTTATCTACACCCCAGTCAAAGCTGGATGATGGCATTCAGCCTGATTGGCCCACTGCACCTAGTGCTGTTGATGACGAGCGTGCAAGACCATCTACAGAAAGCAAAGAGAATCCAGAGAATACGGCAAAAACCTGTGACACCGCTATCACACGTGATCAAGATAAGGCTGCAAGTACAGAATGTTCAGGACGCAACACCCAACCCGCGCCAGATGACGCGCGCGCGCGCGTGTGTGTGTGCTTCTATGGCTTCTCCTGTAGCATCCCTATCATCGCCTCCAGCGATGGGCGTCCAATGGTCCAATGATGTGCGTGTGTGTGTGTGTGTGTGTGTGTGTGTGTGTGTGTATGAGTGTGCGCATATGACGCTCAATTCGAACACACATGCTGCGGACGCTGAGTCTCTAGCTCTTGCTTTTCTTTCAGGCCCTGCACTTCTGTGCAGTTGTGCTAAACTACATAAACAGTTTCTTTGACTATGTACTCCATCTACTTCAAGTATAATTCTGTAATGAACGTCCTACCATGGTACATACAAAAGAAACTGTTCAACAGACTACCTTCAGCCAGAACTTTAGCCAACTAAATCAGCAGCCAGGAATACTGCTGGATTTTGATTAAAATCTGGGCCCCAATCACACAACTTACATAGAAATTCCGTATAGATGTCGAAGACAAAACAGCAAGCGGACTATTTTGCAATGTAGAGGTGCCCAAGGAAAATAAGCAGCCAAAACGCCCTTGTTCAATCACAATTACTTTAGTGCAAAATTCCACACAATTCGACATACCTCCACGAAATTGTGGTCCGCTCCATTTTGCATAGCCTGATTGGGATGTGCTTTGGGAATCCATACCCAAATATAATATCTACCTTTGGCTTAGGGTATAAGCCGAGAGTGTCCGCTATATGCTATCCACTCCAGCACGACAAGCAAGTTGATGGTACGATTACGACGAAAAAATATATAGTGCAAACACAGGTCTTCATGGTCTACGGTTGGGCGCACCGAACCTCAGCTAAAGTGCCATAGGTGACAAAGAGACATACCTCAGCAGCAAACCAAGTTATGAACAAGGATTCCTCCAGCACACGCCAGTTCAGATCCAAATAAGGTTGCAAATAATGCCCAACAAAACAATTGTGTCCTTGTCATCTTTTGCACCTCGATTTTTCCCGCAGTTGCAAATAAAAAACAGGCTACTCAAGGGCTTGGCGCGCGGACTGTATAAGGCAAACTTCGTCAGGGCCCTTACAACTTTTCATTGTTTCCAGGAGCTTATCCCATCGTACGAAACGATTTGGGCCATTTCAGCCAATCAGCGACCGTTCTGAGCGGGGGTATATGTATAGAATAAACACCGATGTCGTAGTGTTTATGGCAATATAAACACTGCTATAAAAACCGAGACGTGGCCGAGGTTTATATAAACAGTCTTTATATTCCCATAAACACAAGACAAAGGTGTTTATTCTATTTACACCTTGCTTCGTTTTTGGCCTGAACTACTGGTCTGAAATAGCTATTTTAGTATCCCAGTATACTATTTATAGGTTAGTGCATGGCAGGGAGGGCCTTATGGCTTGTTAGTGCCCGACAGGTTAGCCTGAGGGCTAACCTGAAGGGCACAAACAAGCCATAAGACCCTCCCTGCCATGCACTAACTATTTTAGAACGAGGTTACATGCATTATCTCACTTCCATTATGCTTGTGTACCACTATATTGGGTAGTTTTGTGGTTTGTGTGCAGAGAGACTTAGTGTGGTATGAAAGAATATTTTCTTCTGGTAAGTTATGGTAACTCAGCACCACTTAGGACTACTAAAAGTAGAATGGAAGCAAATGAAATGCTGGGCTCTTCTTGCGAGCTTCATTCTTATTCATATACATGTATGTAGCTTGTGGAGCTATTTAGGGGCTTTGAGAGCCCCTTGTCAATAACTCTAATGACTTTGATCCTCGCTTTTTATAGGTTTCCGCAAGCTGTTGACAAAGAAAATTCGTACAGATGAAAGAACACGGGAGGCAAAACCGTACACACTTCTGAATTGCGAAGCTTTTAGTAGTACACCGTACACGTTATGCAGAGTTCATTATCTGCACCGTACTATTATGCATACAGGGAGTTGTACGCACCAGTTCAGAGTATATTCAGCGGGCTTTAAACTAATCCAAGGCCCTCGACGCGTCATCAAGAGTAGTAAAATAACGATTGAACGGGCTTTAAACTCTGATAAGGCCCTTGGCGGGAATGTCGCTGATTGGTCGTTTCCTGGACAACGAGACAGACCTCGTTCTAAATTAGAGGCCTACTTGCTAAGCTCGAGTCCATTTTTCTAGTACGTGGTACAGCTCTGCAGTGGCTGTCGTCATATTTGTCGTCCCGTCATCAAACTGTCCGTGTCTCTGCTTCCTTGTCCGATGCTTTACCTGTAGTGTCTGGTGTTCCAGAGGGGTCCATACTGGGTCCACTCCTTTTTTTTTTTTACTTTTGTGAACGATCTGCCCTCTCTAGTTCCAGACGTCAGGCTTTTTGCTGATGACACTGCACTGTTGTGCTCTGACAGCTCGCCGTCCAACCTCGTTACCTCCATGCAGACCGGCATTAACTCCACCATTGCATGGATGGAAGCTTGGAAGCTGAGGCCCAACATCGCGAAGACCGAAGCAATGTTCATCAGCCCATCGCCGCCCACTCAACCGTTGCACTTTCCAGGAGCCAATGCTAACGTTAAAATTGTTCGTGAACACAAACACCTTGGTGTTATATTCGACAACCATATGTCCTGGTCCCCACAGGTCCAGTCAGTATGCAAGCGAGTTAGCTCCTCCCTTGGCATGTTGCAACCTCACTGCCACCATTTAAATGACCATTGCCGAAAATTGTTCTTTACGTTGTATTTTCTACCTATATTTTATTTATTGTGACACAGCGTGGTGCGGTCTGTCTCGGGCCCTTGTTCAAACTCTGGAAATACACCAGCGTCTGCTTCTAAAATTCCTGTTTCGCAAAGATCAAACATTCTCCTCCCAACGTCTCTACAGTTTAACTTCAGTACCTCCCCTCTTAGAGCGACACCAACAACATCTTTGCATCCTTGTACACATGATCTTATTAGACCTGGCTCCCAAACACTTTGCTAAGTATAACTGGTTTGTGTCCACCAGATCAACACGTCATTCCTTCTCATTACCCCGTGCCAATACCTCCCTGTTTCTGAAATCTTCTAACTTCTCTGCGTACACTCTCTGGTCTTCCTTGCCAACTAGCCTTAACGCATGCACATACATTAAAGCATGCACATACATTAAGGAGTTCAATCCTAGACAAACATGCTCATTTGAGGACCCGCCGCACCAAAACACGCACACATGTTCCTTGGATGGATGCAAACCTGCTGGCCACAATATCTAGTCGAAACCGGGCCCACCGCAAATGGCTACGAACCTGCAACCCTGTGGACCATGAAGCTTTCCGCCACACCAGACGTGATGTGAACCAGCTTAACCGACGACTCAAGGCCTGCTACTATCAGGATCAGTTTGCCAATGCGGAAGGCCAGCCAAAACAAACATGGAGAGTGATTAACCAGGTATCAGGCAGAACACGGACCCACACTGTTCCTCAATGCCCCCCGGATGAAATCGGACAAGTGTTTGCGGACATCGTCACCGATGCGACTCGCCCAAAGGTGCTGTCCATCCCCTCTGGTCCGCATGCAAGTACTGATCACTGCTGTTTCAAGCCAGTATCCATCGCATGTGTACGCAAGTTGCTCAGCAGTGTAGATACGACAAAGTCAACGGGCAGTGATGGCGTACCTGCTCTTGTACTAGCAGCATGCTCTGACCTCTTAGCTCCATCAGTAACTCTCATCTTCAACAATTCACTTTCCGAAGGGAGATTTCCACTATCCATGAAACTTGGAAATATCACTGTTCGGTCACCGAATCTGGACTCCAAAGAAGACTGTATTTATTTCTGTTCTTCGTAACTGAACGAAAATCTCTAGACTAATAGTATGCACACATCATCGTGCCTTGGCACGGACATACCAACTCTGCTATTGTTCTCTCTCCAGGACAAAAACTCTCCTTTCCAAAGAGACAAAAAACTCTCTCCCCTCCAAAGTGAAACTGGTACTATAACAAAAGCACAGCTGATAAAGCGAACAGACCTACAGCCAATCAGCAAACCAGTTCCGTCATATGATCCAGCAGGTATTGCATGCCATGCATGTACTAGATTAATGCTACGGTACAGACAATCGCATGTCTAGACAGGTCCTAACAGTGTCTAGTCAGTACTAGCATCATGCTCACATGTGCCGGGTCAGCACACAATACATCGACCTTGCAAACGGTAACCTACGGGATCTACTGGAACATATCCCCCTCTCACACGAGGAGAAAACCACACTAAAAAACAAAAACAATCCGAGTGTGACACAACTACATAATCATGTCCATCACTGTTACTCATTTCCAACTGGCAAAGGAACGAGATGATGGATGGCACGTTGCAGGATCTTGCCTCCAATCTTGACGTCCACGACGCGCACCTTGTTGTCCTTTCCTGGGAAGGTCTCCATAATGCGACCCAATGGCCACTGTCCGCGCGGAGTGCCGGGACTCATCCACATCACCACGTCACCCACCTTCAAGCTCTTCTTGGCCTGGCGCCAGCATTTCCGGAGGTTCAAGGATGGTAGAAACTCTCTTTTCCATCGCTGCCACACTTCGTCTACTAATCGCTGTACTGCCGCCCATCTCTTCCGCTGATGCTGATGCTCACCAAGCAACGTCACTTCCTTGGCCAGAGGCGCATCCATACGTCCCACAAGGAAATGCTGGGGAGTGAGGGGCTGATCATCCTGAGCATCATCTGAGACTGTAGTCAGCGGACGAGTGTTGATGAGATGCTCTGCTTCAATCAGTGCGGTCAGCAACTCCTCGTCGGTAAGCGAAGCATTAGCGAGTACTGTGGTGATGGCACGCTTAGCAGCTTTCACAACAATTTCGAATACTCCTCCAAAGTGGGGTGCTCGCGGAGGATTGAACCACCACTCTATTCCTTCATGAGCGAATTTCCTGCTGACTTGCGTGCGATCAATGGCTTCGCTCGCCTCTCGGAGCTCTCGCTCGGCAGCTGTAAAGTTCGTGCCGTTGTCCGACACTATGATGGACGGAGTGCCGCGACGCTTGATGAATCTGGAGAATGCCATCAGGAATGCTTCTGTGTCCAAAGAGAAGGCCATCTCCAAGTGGCATGCTCTGGTCTCCAAACAGGTGAAAACGCACATGTACCGCTTCTGCTGCACTCGACCACGCCCTTGCTTTGTGTAGAACGGTCCTGCGTAATCTACTCCACATCTGGTAAATGGTTTGAGAGAACCACACGTGCGATGGTTGGGTAGCGGTCCCATGATCTGCTCCGCAGCCTTACTCATCAGTCGGCTGCACGTAACGCATTGTGCACGTACACTTTTGATCGCTGATGTACCATGTACAATCCAGAATCTCTGTCGTAGGTTGGACAGCAGGTGCTGGGTTCCGACACCATGGCAACAGAGGTCGTTTTCGCGCTGGATGAGTAGTGTAGTGACTCGGTGACGCTGTGGTAGGATCACTGGCTGGAGAACACCAAGAGGTAGGTTGACAGCATGCTCCAGTCGTCCGTTGACGACCATGAGAGCAGGGTGTGACGTCGCATCCAGGACCACGTTGAGCCGGTAGAGAGGGTCAGATGGTGGTAATTCCTCACCTGCCCGTAAGCGCTTAAGGGTGGCTGGGTACGCCGACAGCTGAGCCTGTGCAAACCAATGCCGTTCGGCTCCTGCTACGTCTGCTGCCGTCAGCACCGGTACTGTCACTACTGATCTTGGCTTATGACCGCTTGCTAAACGGACATAAACTAGTGGGGCACTGGTGTTGGCGGTGTCGACGTGGGTTTCCCCCCTCGTGACTGTCGCAGTCTGCCGTCGGGCATTTTGTACGAACCGTAAGCACCAGGCAGTCACCCTGGTAAGACGCTCCCACGTCGAATATGTGGCAGGATCTAGTCGAGATGGCGTCACCTGGCTGGCGAATGTCATACATGGCTTCTTCTTCAGCTAACCAGGTAGTTGCGGAGGGGTAGCAAGCTCCACAAGCGGCAACTCTGCCTCCGGTCTGGTCAGGAAGTCCGGACCACTCCACCATGTGTGACGTCCAACGAGGTCCAGCACTTTCATACCTCGAGATGGGAAGTCGGCTGGGTTGAGGACTCCTGGTACGTGTCTCCATTGGCTAGCTTTGGTGTCGGCTTGAATCTCACCGACCCGGCAGGCGACATCTGAAGTGAAGTTCTTGGCATGGCTCCTCACCCAGTACACGACGTTGAGGGAATCGGTCCAGAACACATGTTCAGCAACAGGAATAGCGAGGGCTTGGCTGACAACTTTGCTGGTGCGCAGGCCAAGTACTGCACCTCGCAACTCCAACTTAGGGATGGTGACTTTCTTGATTGGGGTTGCCCGCGCCTTTGGCGAATGCAAGGCTGACCTTCACAAAACCATCCGGATACGCCGCGCGGACATAACTGACAGCTGAAGTGGCGTGCGCCGAGGCATCGGTGAAGGTATGTACTGTGAGCTTCGCGGTGTCAGCCTGGCGCTCCATGCTTTTGAAGCATCGTGGCACTTTGATCCCAGCTAGATCTGGTAGTTCTGCAAACCACCTCTGCCACTTGGTCTCCAGCTCTGATGGAAGACGGTCATCCCAGGAACAGCCGAGAATGCATGCCTCCTGGAACAGCAGTCGAGCCCTTATCGTAAACGGCGAAATATGCCCTCTTGGGTCATAGATGCTGGCCATCTTGGATAGGACGCTTCGTTTCGTCAGCCGCTGGTCGTCCGGTGTGTTGTAGCGATAGCTGAACGTGTCAGACGCTGCGTCCCACACGACACCAAGTGTCTTCACGACTGCAGCTGATGCGGCGTCGCTGCAATCATCGTTGCTCACCAGTGCGTCGGCTGCTCGGTCGGCCTCCGGGATAGAACGGAGCACGTCACGGCTGTTACTGTCCCATTTCCGCAGGTGAAACGAGCCCATGTGGAGCAGGTCCTGCACCCCCTGCCGTACTGAGATGCCGGCTGGTACTGATGGTTGTGAGTTCAGGAAATCGTCAACGTAGAACGATTCCTCGACGGCTGCTCGGGCTGCTGAGTCGTACTGTTCCCCATGCTGTGCGGCTACCTCCCTCAGAGCTCGGCAGGCGATGAACGGTGATGCCTTCAGTCCGAACACGAGCCGAGTAAACTCGTAAACGGATGGTTGCTCGTCTGTCGACTTGCGCCACAGGAAGCGTACGTACCGCCGATCTTGCTGTTGTAGCTGGACCTGAAGGAACATCTCTGCAATGTCTCCTACGATCGTAACCGGTTCACGGCAGAACCTGAGTAGGACGTGAATCAGGTCATGTTGCAGTTTCGGACCAGTGTACATCTCATCATTGAGAGACACACCCCGCTGACGAGCCGCTGCATCGAAGACAACCCTCACTTTCGTGGTCGCCTTGTCGTGGCACACGACAGGAAAGTGCGGTAGTAGCCATCGGTCACCGTCTCTGGCGGCACTATCCTCACAGCGGACCACATATCCCTTTTCGATGTATGATTGGAAGACTCTGTCGTACTCTGCTTGGATGTCCGGCTTCTTGAGAAGAGATCGCTCGAGGCTGATCAGCCGCTTCTCTGCCATGGCTCGGTTTGGCGGCAGTTGTGGCTGGTGGTCTGGCCGAATCCAAGGGATGCCTGTCGTGACACGACCATCAGTGATTTTCATCCTGTCAGCCACGAGGTGCTCTGCTTCTATCTCAGCCATCGTCTTGTCAGATTGTGGTTGCATGCCCACCTGGTCATCCTCCCAGAACTTAGCGACCAGTGTATGGAGCAATGGCTCACATACTGCAGATGCGTGCAGCGTGCACTCGGATGTGGCACCCGTCGGCATGTCCACCGGCCCAAAGCAAACCCAGCTGAGTGGTAGACGGCGTGCAATGGGCTCTCCCGCGCGCCCAGTGGCCTCCTCCAGCACTCGGTGTGCGTCAATGACATCGATACCAATCAGGATGTCTACCTGCCGCGAGTCGACCTGTGGTAGCGGTAGTTGCTGGAGGTGGGGGAATTGTTGGCTCATCTGATGCCAGTCAACGGCCGGTAGCGGAGCTGTGATGTCGGGCAGGGTCCATGCTTGGAACGCCGTGCTGTAGTCACCATCATGACTGTGGATGGTCAGGTTGACTCTCTGCCGGCGGACTGTTACTGTCGTTCCGCCTAGGACTGAGGTGGTGAGCTGCTCATCTGGCCCGCTGACACCCAAGCTCTCAGCAACGTCAGCCCTGATATAGCTGGTGGATGATGCCGAGTCAATCAGTGCCACTGCATCATACGTCCGATCTTGGTGTTGCAGCTTGACTGGCACAGTCATGAATGCAACATGGACCCCGGTGTTAGCGGTGCAGGTGGTTGCTGTGGCCGTCGCTGCTGTGTCGGATGGACGCTGTGGCTTCTCACGTGATCCACCGCCTCGCTGTGGACTGTCCAGTCGATTGCTTTGATTCATGCTGGCTGGTTCTTTGTCCGTCTTCCTGCTGTAGCTCTGCTGTTGTCTCACAATGTGGAGCATGTCATGGTGTTTTCCACCGCACTTAGCACATGGGTTGCTCCTGCACTCAGCAGAACGATGGCCAGCAAAGCGCAGGTAGCAGGTACACACATTCAACGGCTTAACGAATTTCCACCTGTCTGCTGTTGACAAGGTGGCAAATGCCCAGCAGTCAGCTAAGCCGTGGCCCTCTCCGCACTTCTTGCATCTGGCCTTTGGCGTCTCATTTCCTGCTGTAGTTGCCAACGTTCTATGTGGTCGATGATCATGTCGGCTCTGTGACTTTTGCAGCACTGCCGTTGATGTGGGTGTCTTGTGGGTCTCTGCCTGCCTCTCCTCTACCTTCCTCAGCATATGAACCAGATTCAGTAGCCAGTCTGCAAAGTTGCAAACATCGCAGTTCCGGTCCTCGTGCAGCTCAAAATACCTCAGCAGGAGGGTCGGTGGTATTTTCTGGGTTGCTGCTAGATACAGCTCACGGCCGGGAGCAATGCCACACGACTTCATGTTGACCAGGGTACTCCGCAGCTTTAGAGCAAACTTCTTTAGCTTGTCGGTGGCTTTAGCGTTGTCAATCTTGGGCCACGTCAGGATGTCTTTCTCGTGACGCTCAAGTTGTCGCTCCTCACCGCCATACCAGGCTTCTATTTCCACCAATGCTGCTTGAAAGGCGCCTGTTCCGTCCATAATGTCCTGGACGAGTTCCTCGGCACTCCCTCCGGCGAGTGACTCTCTCAGTCTCGCCATCTTGTAGTGCTCAGTTGTGTGGGGGTCTGTTCCCACCAAACTCATGAATTTCTGTCTCCAAGGGACATAGTTCACTGGCGCTCCGTCAAACTGCGGTAGCTTCAACGGCTTCAAATGGGATCTGTATGTCCCGGCATGAGGGTAAGCAGCTGGTGATGTATATGGACGTTGTCCATCTGGCTGACTATACTGTGTAGCCAACTGACTCTGTGCAGCTGCTGGTGCACTTTGCTGTACATAATATGGCGTGTAGAAAGTTGCAGGATTCGCAGCTGGTGATGTATATGGACGTTGTCCATCTGGCTGACTATACTGCGTAGCCAACTGACTCTGCGCAGCTGCTGGTGCACTTTGCTGCTGTACATACGGTGAGTAGAAAGTAGTTGCGGGATTCTGGCTGCTGGCTGTGGGTCTGGCTGATTGACCTCTTGCACTCACTACTCTGGCCTGTCCAAGCTGGCTAGGCACTTTCTGCTGGACTGTGTAGCTACTTGGCTGCACTTGAGATGTCACAGCAGGGTGATATTTCTGGTTAGCTGGTGTCTGATACTGTGGGCCTTGGGGCAGTTGTGGCTTCAGACTAGTTGTGGTGAAAGGTGCAAAGCTGGACTGCACAGTGACCGTCTCTCCTGGTCTGTGTTGTGCGTCGTTACTAGTATTAGCCACAGCTACTGGGGCAAAACTGTTACTCTGCAACACAGGATTCACTGCACTATCACCAGACATACCTGCATGTACTTGACTGTCGCTGCTCACTGGACCATCAATGACAATGGACTGTGCATGTGTCACTGTGGATGGCAGTCCGTCACTTCGACCAGCTTCCACTTCCACTGTTCTGGTCTTACTTGGTAGCCAGCTCTGGGGACTTCTTCGTTCCACATCCACAGCACTCATGCATAGAGGCAGACTACCAGCTGGTGTTTGTCTTGGCTTGGCTGGCTGGATGTCAACTGCGTCCACCACGCTGAAGGCGCGCCCTGCTCTCCCAGACTCTGCGCTGGTAATTTTGAGCTTCTCAAGGAGTTGATGATGGCGCACGAGTGCTTCTGTCGTGAGCCATTTGTCCAACACCTGCGTGGGACAGTCTCCGTGCACTTTCATCTCTCCGACTCCTGCGGCTGCTCGCGGTGGAGCCTTTCTCTGAGAGCTCCAACTCCAGCGCTGCTCTGTCTGCAGCCAATCGCTTGGTCACCAACTGTCTGTTGAGTTCCAATCTCTTTTCGACCGCCTCAGCCTCCAGCTGGACTAATTCCTCAGCAGCTTGCAACTCTCTCTCTCTCGCGTATCCTGGCCGCGAGTTCCAGTTCGGCTTCCTTACTGGATTTCTTGGAAACTTGGGAGACACTATCCCACTCTCCATATCGCGAAGGAGGCTTACCCTTCGTCGACCTGACGCTCGTTCTTTTTTCCATCGACTCCGATTACTGCCTCGGACTCGGATCCGGCTCGAAGGACCAGTTGTTCGGTCACGGAATCTGGACTCCAAAGAAGACTGTATTTATTTCTGTTCTTCGTAACTGAACGAAAATCTCTAGACTAATAGTATGCACACATCATCGTGCCTTGGCACGGACATACTAACTCTGCTATTGTTCTCTCTCCAGGACAAAAACTCTCCTTTCCAAAGAGACAAAAACCTCTCTCCCCTCCAAAGTGAAACTGGTACTATAACAAAAGCACAGCTGATAAAGCGAACAGACCTACAGCCAATCAGTAAACCAGTTCCGTCGTATGATCCGGCAGGTATTGCATGCCATGCATGTACTAGATTAATGCTACGGTACAGACAATCGCATGTCTAGACAGGTCCTAACAGTGTCTAGTCAGTACTAGCATCATGCTCACATGTGCCGGGTCAGCACACAATACATCGACCTAGCAAACAGTAACCTACGGGATCTAGTGGAACAATCACCCCTGTGTACAAGAGCGGCGACCCTACCAAGGCCACCAATTTCAGGCCTGTTTCTCTGTTGCCTATTATCTCAAAGATCCTTGAGCGCATCGTACATTCGCAACTCACTGAATTCTTGACCACCCACAGGCTCTACCCAGATTGACAGTTCGGATTCCGGAAACAGCACTCAACTGAGGATGCTGTTGTGATGGCATCAGAGGCCTTTGCCAATGCTGAAGAATCCGGACTCTCAACTTGCGCCGCCTTTGTTGACATGTCGAAGGCATTCGACAAGGTTCAACATGGCACCCTCATCCGCGACCTCTTCAGTATTGGTGTTGGTGGAAGTGCGCTGAATTGGTTGGCAGACTACTTAAGTGACCGGCAGCAAAGAGTTGTCATTGGGAACCAGCCAAGCTACAGCTGCTCTTGTCTTGCCTGCCTGCCACTCCCGGTATGGTTTCCATTCCATTGCGTATCTTGGTGCCGACAGGTGGAATGCGCTGCCTCCATCTTGTCGCCTGGCCGAGTCGCCTGCTTTGTTTCGCGCTCACACAAAGTCTCATTTAGGGTTCCCAGTAAAAAGGCAACATTGCCTGTTGGGAAATCCCTAACAAAATAAGAAAAAATAATAATAATAATAATAATAACCAGCACAGCAAGGTATTCCAGCCCAGCAGTGGTGTGCCCCAGGGTTCCGTACTTGGTCCCCTGCTGTTTGTCCTCTATGTCCGTGGTGTGGCAGCTGAATTGCAACCGTATGGTGTGCGGACAGTTCAGTTCGCAGATGACATCATGCTCTATATTAGTAGCAGGGACAAACATCAGCTGGAACGCAGTATGTCTTCTACAGTTACACACCTGGCCAGATGGCTTGCCAGCAGGAACCTGGTACTAAACGAGAGGAAAACCCAGATTTTGTTCATCCCTGCCCATCGTTCTGTGAATCCTCGTGTCAGCATTATGTGCTCTGGAGTTCAACTGGCACAAGTAGAATCTGCAAAGTATCTTGGTGTCCACATGGACCAAGATCTCAAGTGGACCACAATGGTCAACCAGATCGCCAAGCGAGCTGCCTTTAAAATAGCTGTCTTGTTTAGAAACAGGCGCTGCATGCCCCGCCCGTGCCGCATCACGTACCTGAAGTCCCTGATCCTTCCTGACTTCCTGTATGCTAGCAACTGTTTCTCTGCTGGCCTCACCTCACATCATCTCAAGCGCCTAGAGCGTCTACTTAAGCGCGCAGTCCGCTGTGTTTACAACGCTCCATTTGCATCCCCATCTGCGCCGCTGTATTGCCAATTGCGATTGCACTCGCTAGAAGTTATGTACTGCCACAAGCTTCTTGGCTACACTTGGCGCTGCCTTCAGGGTAAATGCAGCACATTGATTACCGATATGTTCAGTCCTCTTAATGCCGGCCGTGCTACACGTAGTCAGGGAAATCGAGCACTTAAATTTCCAGTCACTAAGACATCCGCTGGCACACATTCTGCCTCATCCCAATGTGTATCAATGTGGAACAGGCTCCAGCCCGACATCAGGAAAATCCCACAGTACCACCGATTCATGCGATCCCTCCCAGCACATGCTGCTTTTCAGTAATGCCACTGCCCGCTGTATTATTATTACCTTTACTGGCCTAACTGGCTTTTACAATGTAATACTTTACTACCCACTCTACTCAGTATCATTACCTTCATTACCCACTCTACTCAGTGTCATTACCCACTCTACTCAGTATCATTACCCACTCTACTCAGTGTCATTACCCACTCTATTCAGTATCATTACCCACTCTACTCAGTATCATTACCCACTCTACTCAGTATCATTACCCACTCTACTCAGTATCATTACCCACTCTACTCAGTATCATTACCCACTCTACTCAGTATCATTACCTTCACTGGCCTTTTATACTTTATTCTCCTTTTTAGTCGATATCATGTAATTAGGCAAATTTGCCTGTTTGTTCTTCGACTCTAAATAAACAAACAACAACAACAAAAACAACAAGCTTCAGCTTCTTCGTCCTAAAAATCTCACCATTTTCGTCATGCCTCCCCTTGCAGTACTCTCTTTGTTTCTCTCCTTATTATTCAGTTCGCGGTGGTTGGCTACCACGACTTCTCATATATATTGGCAGTCTTCTGACGAGCCAGGAGATGTTGAATTAATATTAAATAATAATAATTATGTGTAGGTGGCATTGCGTGTTCCAGACCTAAGACCTATCTTTCAACCAACATCTCCATCGACACCCTGGTGGCTGGGTGGTCAAGATAGGTGCTTGGGAGTCCTATGGTTGCAGGTTCGATTCCTGCTGAAACTTCTTTCTTCTCTTCAATTTTTTTTCTTTTTCAATTAGAGAGAAAATTTCTAAGTCCCTTGAAAGTTGAAAAGTTACAACCTCTAAGTGGGTAATATGTATAGATTATAGACCGGTTAGGAGGTCTATACAGGATATATAGACCGAGTAAAAGACCGAGGTCCCCCGAGGTCTTTTACGAGGTCTATATATCCTGTATAGACCAACTATGAGGTCTATAATCTATTTATCGTGTTCTCCACGCAATAGTTTCTCTTCATATACGACATATCCTTGTAATTCTAGTATTATACTATAGCCTATTGCATTGTACTGCATTGAAAGTCAAGATCATTGTTTAAACTAGGTTCAGCATCGGTAGCACAGTGGCTGGGTGGTAAGGAAGAGTGACTGAGATTCACGAGGTTGTGGGTTCAAATCCCATCTTGTGTATTTCTGCTTTCTTCAAAAATTTCTTTTCCTAAGTTGGAGAGAAAATATCTAAAGCCAAGAAGTTCTAAGGAGTCAAATATAAGTAGTCAAATATATCGTGTATTTGACTAAGTAGTCAAATACGCGATATATTTGACCGCTTAGGTATCAGGGAAATTAGTGGGGTCAAATACTAAGAAGGCGATAAAGCAAAGTATATTAAAATTTCACGGTTCGCGTGAGACTCGGCTGGAAGCCGGGTTTTCCGCATCCGTAGGAACGCCACCACCCTTCAAGGATCAAGGCGCAGATGCAGCTCCTAAAGCGGTGGGAGGTGAGTAGATCAGCTCACCAGCAAGTGGTCAAAGACCGAAAATCCCATTCACTGCATCCATGTTTTCCTCGTGCCAGGCCACGAGTTCCCAATTAACTGTGGGTCGCAGCACGGCTGGAAAAAATCCTTCCGCTTCCAAGCAGGACTTGAACCTGGTACCTTCTGTTTCTCAATCATGGTCTTAGACCATCCCACTATGCCTGCCTGCAAAGTATATACCCCAAGTTAAAGTGGTGAATATGTATATGTTATCGCATTGGTTGCGAGGGCCTTATGGCATATTATTGCCCCGAGGGCTAACCTCGAGGGGCAATAATATGCCCTATTATAAATGGCCCGCAGCAACCATGCGATAACTAATTTATCACATGGCACACAGAGCAGACCATTGGGCTGCTGTTGAAACTAGCCCAAATGCCAACACATTATGACCACAATGTATATTGATGTGCTATCATTATCAAAACAGGAAAAATGAAGATATTTCTCCTACAAATAATCTACGTGGAGATAAAAATTTAATATTAGCTATGAAAAGTATGAATGCCGCAGACATCACCACGCAACATGACAATTTGTTCAAGTTTGGTTTTCACGCTCCGATCATCAGTGGAAATACGGAACTTTTAGTTCTCACTTTTTGTAATACTTACCACAAGTTACCCTTCATGTGTCACACTTCTTTGGATTTTTAACCTTTGTTTTTCCCTTGATCTCTTTAGTTCCCTATTTCCACTGATGATCGGAGCGTGAAAATCGATTTTGGAAACACACAAAACCAAACCTTGAACAAATTGTCATGTTGCGTGGTGATGTCTGCGGCATTCATACTTTTCATAGCTATTATTTCTCCTACACCCTAACAAAAAGTCTGCTACAGGCCATCAAAGAGTATACACTACTGAAACAGTGAAAGACGGAGACAGAAAAAAGTGCCGAAACGGCATCGTCATAGCAAAAGACATGGCAACCACAATAAAACACAGGAGAATCATAATTTCAGTTGAAAAATTTAGAGTGCTACCACAAAGAGTTTCTTCATGTTTACATGTGTATCAGGAAGTTAGTTGTCAAAGTATTTGACAACTCCCTGGCCTGGTGTGTGTGAGGACAATTTTTCTTCTTTT